ATTTAATTTATATTTATATTTTTTATATATTTTATATATTCAATAATATATAAAACGTCCAGCGACGAGTTCCGGCTTTTGATTTATTCAAACATATTACAGAATAAATACCATAAAGTCCTTTTTAAGATTGATACAATAAGACAATTCAACATATGGGCGATTGTCAAGTGGACCTCCCAAGAAGACTTTGTGGAAACTGGCTCCTATTTGTATTAAACACATGAAGAAAATCCTGAAAACTCCACACAACTAGCATGTTAACACTTGCATACACTTTAGTGTTTTTGAAATGTAAAAAGTATACATTTACATATTTTTACATTTAATTATTTATGGTGAAGCAAAATTTTCCAAATATAAAAAAAGAGCTTATCTTCAAGCCATAAAATATGTTCTACGTGGATAACATTTAATTGAATGCATATACAAATGCTCTTGTTTAACTCTTGAGACAAAGGAATTTTAATCTCAGCAACTGTTAAAAGGAATAGAAAAGTCTTCCTGAATCTCCATCCTCAGGAAGACTTTTGACACTGTAAATTCTCAATTCTAAGCTGTAAAAGTTAAACATTACGATTTAACAACGAAAAATAAATTTAAGCTGTAAAAGCTAAACATAACATAAATTTATTTTTAAATTCTTACTCAGAAATAACTTAATATTTTTTATATACTTTTCAAAATATCTAATATTTAAGTTTAATATATACCATTTAAACTGAAACAATTTCCTCATGTAAAAGTATTGTATTTGACAGATATTCCTTAATCAGATCAGTAGAAAAGTTTCACAAGTGCAAGATTGCCAACTGTGGAACAAATCTAAGATTTGGAAGAATGATACAAGCATTTACAGTAATGAGTCATTGAACAATTTATTTAAAAAATTAGATGATGTCATCTTTCTCTTAAAAAATTGCAAGAAATCACTAGATGTAATAAAGCAATCTTGTAGTAACAAAAAACTCATTATCATGCCAATAATACAAGAAACTGTTTCATTGAAGTCAAAGAAATAAATATCAATTTATTACTACTTTTAGATCACTTGTCTCTCTTCAGGAAAAAAAATCTGCAAAACATATATATTGGGATTTTATGTTGATGTGGGAAAGGAAATCTGTTATTCTAGTAAATAAACTAAATAAATAAAATGCAACCTAAATTAAACAAAACATTACTCCTCCTTTGGATTGATGGAATATGGCAATGTGACACGTGAGCAATCTGCGGAGGGATGACTCTCGAGCACTTTCTATGGGAAACTGGCCTCTATTTAGGTGTTTCACATGTGAAGAAAACTTGAAAAATCCACATGACCAACCTGTCAGTCGGGTGAATCTCATAACCGACTACTAGTGTTTGGTGGTTTTATCCATCCTTCGCTGGGTAGACATTCTCTTTTCTTTGACTCCAACTAAATAGTTTATTCTATAAATAATCTTTAAAAAACTTAGTATAATCATATTAAAGTTAAAATAAAATATATTCTATATGATGGATATAATTTATTAAGAAATACTTGATAATATAATATCTATATTTTGCACTTTTATTTAATTAATTAGAACTTGATACAAATGATTTATTTCACCTAATATCTTGGAGATGCTAATAATTTTCATTAAAAATCTCTCATATTTAGTTGAAAAATCTTAATAAAAACTGTGAAGAATANGTTTCCTTCCTATATATATATACTGTATATATATTTAATTTAATTATTTTAAATCTCATTAACCACTTTTTAAATTTAAACAGATGATATTTAATTATATATCTTTAAAAAAAATTTATTGTGTTATAAAAATTTACACAGTACAAAAATGGAAAGCCATGACTAAAGTAAGTATTAATTACATATTAATTTATAATTAATTAATTTAATGTTCAATACATTTATATACATTAGAAGAAAAACAATGAACTTGATCTTAAACTTGAAGAAAGCTGTACTTCTTTAAAAAAGGTAAATTATAAATTTATTTTGTATTAAATGTTTTAAAAATAAATTATATAAATTATTTCTAAAAATGATTAAATAAAATATAGAGAAAAGAAGAAATATGGAGATTTTATGAGGACAAAAAGAAAGAAAATGAATCTGAAGAAGATAAAGATTTCTTATTCAAGTAATTAACATTTTTTATTACAGAGTCCCTGATTAATGCAGCAGACATGTTGCTCAAGAATAGCACATTAAGCAAAGTCTATACCAGTGATTCCCGAAGTGGGCACTACCACCTCCTTGAAGGTGGTAGAAGACTCGAGGGGACACTAGAAGGCAGTACAGGTGTTGGAAGAGGAGGAGGACAATTCATTTTGAAACAAAACCAAAAATATGTATGAGAAATAAATGCACTAAAAGGAGGCATTAGTCCAAAAAGTTTGGGAAACACTGCTCTATACAATGACTAACAGTGATCTTCAGAATCACATTACATTTAAAAAATAGTCTAATATGATTCTTTAATTATGGAAAATTGCCCATAATTAATGAATGATGTTAAATCCACTAAACAAAAGTGTCTTAACCAACTATTGTCTGTACAAAAAAATCATTTGAAGAAAATATTTCATTGTTTGTATAATTTTATAAAATTTATTTTCCTTAAATTTATATTGTTTACTGTTATTGTTAATAGTCTACTTGGACTTTACTTATTAATAGGACTTAATACTGGTGTTTAAATTATTACTACAGGTGATATAATAAAGAAATTTTGTTCTTTCCTGAACTAACTCTCATTGCCGTGCCAATCTTTAAACACCAGTATTAAGTCCTATTAATAAGTAAAGTCCAAGTAGACAATTAACAATAACATTAGAATTTAAGGAGAGTAAGGCTTTTACAATTATATTGTTTACATTTATTAAATTATATTACAGAGAGGAATTTTTCAAAAATACAGAAGCTATTAAAAATAGTTTTTTAGAAATTCATAGCAGTTATTTACAATTTCGTCGGCTACTTCATAATGAAAAGTTAAAAATATTCGAACTATGTAGCTCTGTAGATAATACCATGAAAGAAAATATCAAATTAGAATATGAGTTAAGTGAAAATGAAGCCTCTTTAGAAGATTTACTTAAAAGGATTGACAGAATTGAACAAATGCTAGTAAGTTTAAATACTGTATTTAAAAGAAAATGTTTGTTTATAAAAAATTTACTGACATTTTATAAATGTTCTTTATGCAGTTTAGGAAATGACTTACCAAAAGAACATAAAAATATTTCCTGAAAAAGGCAATTTTAAAATGAAATGAAGTGTTTCTGTTTACATAAATAGTATTAGCAACTGGATTTCATACAAATAGAGTATTTAGTGCACACAAAATAATATTTTGTAAAATATTCAACATTAAAATATTTATGATTGTAGTTTTATTCTCTACATTGTATGACATTTCTAATTAACCAGTCTCAAACGATACCTCTGGATTTTAATCAGGCTATAATACAATTACTTAATTATAAAGATATTACATAATTTGGTCTGGAGGTTAAGCTGCCATCTAGTATAATATTTAAAAATTAGCAAATTATGTAATTAACTGGTATATATAAATATATACTAGTTAATTACATATTTTATATACTAATTCAAAATGATGCAAAATATAAATTACATTATAATTAGATAGTAAAAATTAATATGTTCAGTGCTTATCAGTTTTTAATGAGATGAAGATATTAATTAGATAGATTAGATGCATGAAAAAAATGAAAATCTATTTACATAATTAATTTTTATCTTGTAAAAATACAGTATAAACTGAACTAGAGTTGAAAGTGTATAAAGATCTCACAGATAATAAAGCACTGAAGGAAGAGGAATTCTATCACACTATCAAGTAATATTCCATCACTCATCAAGAATTTTTTATTAGAAAATAGACATGAGTACCTAAAAAATGTACAGTATTTTATTAATTGTATTATTAAGAAAAATTAAAATACAGTAAAAAAATTATTAAATGCAACATCTTTGTTTTATTTCCAATATTATCAATACAAAGAACATCCTACAATTAAACTAAATAATATATAATTTCTGATTATTATTCAATTCCTAACATTTTATAGGAATCACTTAAGATTTTTATTGAACTTTGGATTTTAAAAATATATTAAGAGTAGCATTATTTCAGTTTATTAGAAATCATAACTTGTAATTTTAACACTAACAATTAACAAGAAAAACACTACAAAATTTATTTATGTTAAAGCATTCTTAAAATTATTTTTAAATAATTAATACTAAAGTATTTTCTTTTACTGAATTAATTAATTACAATCTATTAAACTTATAAAAATAAGTATAAATGAAAAAAGTTCTCGTAATAAATAATTAATACCATATTAAAAAAGTACATTTGAGAAATTGTAAAATTAACTGCTTAGTTTTGTATAAATTCTACAATGGAATTTTTTAAATAGAAAATGTTTCTTGTCTAAAAGTATTTGTCTAAATTCCACATATCTTGCATGGTGTTGCATGCTCTAAGAGATGAAGCTATGCAGAGAAGCCTCATACAGTTCCCTCCCTCATTTTTTGATGTCCAACTGCTCCCTCTTTGAATATTTTAACCAGACAAAGACTGTATGACTTTGTAATTTAAACTGTTTTGCTATCTCTCATAGGTTAAAAAGAATTATTGTTTACTTTTAATTAGTCTTAGGTATATGGAATGTTGATTGTCTGGATTGCCTTCCAACTTGGTTAAAAATAAGCAAGCATTTACAATAGAGCATTGATTATCCGAATCAATTGGGGACTGGGGTTGTTCGGAAAATCGATTTTTCGGATAACCGATTATGTACAAAAAAATATATTAACCTAGCCCATGTTGAAATTTATTCAAATCCTGGCACATCCTTAAGTACCCTCTTATGGTCACACCAGTGTTGCCAGCTAAAACACGCACACCAACAAAAATAATATTGGAGTAACCTAAGACATAGCCAAAGATTGCAACGCCACAGCACTAGCAGAAATTTAAATATGCTGACTGGAAAGGTTTCAGTTGATTGATATTTGATAATCGATGCTCTACTGCAGTGATTCCCAACCTGGGTATGTGATAGGTTGTTTAGGGGTACAGGCAAAAGTTAGTTATTNATTAGATGCATGAAAAAAATGAAAATCTATTTACATAATTAATTTTTATCTTGTAAAAATACAGTATAAACTGAACTAGAGTTGAAAGTGTATAAAGATCTCACAGATAATAAAGCACTGAAGGAAGAGGAATTCTATCACACTATCAAGTAATATTCCATCACTCATCAAGAATTTTTTATTAGAAAATAGACATTAGTACCTAAAAAATATACAGTATTTTATTAATTGTATTATTAAGAAAAATTAAAATACAGTAAAAAAATTATTAACTGCAACATCTTTGTTTTATTTCCAATATTATCAATACAAAGAACATCCTACAATTAAACTAAATAATATATAATTTCTGATTATTATTCAATTCCTAACATTTTATAGGAATCACTTAAGATTTTTAATGAACTTTGGATTTTAAAAATATATTAAGAGTAGCATTATTTCAGTTTATTAGAAATCATAACTTGTAATTTTAACACTAACAATTAACAAGAAAAACACTACAAAATTTATTTATGTTAAAGCATTCTTAAAATTATTTTTAAATAATTAATACTAAAGTATTTTCTTTTACTGAATTAATTAATTACAATCTATTAAACTTATAAAAATAAGTATAAATGAAAAAAGTTCTCGTAATAAATAATTAATACCATATTAAAAAAGTACATTTGAGAAATTGTAAAATTAACTGCTTAGTTTTGTATAAATTCTACAATGGAATTTTTTAAATAGAAAATGTTTCTTGTCTAAAAGTATTTGTCTAAATTCCACATATCTTGCATGGTGTTGCATGCTCTAAGAGATGAAGCTATGCAGAGAAGCCTCATACAGTTCCCTCCCTCATTTTTTGATGTTCAACTGCTCCCTCTTTGAATATTTTAACCAGACAAAGACTGTATGACTTTGTAATTTAAACTGTTTTGCTATCTCTCATAGGATAAAAAGAATTATTGTTTACTTTTAATTAGTCTTAGGTATATGGAATGTTGATTGTCTGGATTGCCTTCCAACTTGGTTAAAAATAAGCAAGCATTTACAATAGAGCATTGATTATCCGAATCAATTGGGGACTGGGGTTGTTCGGAAAATCAATTTTTCAGATAACTGATTATGTACAGAAAAATATATTAACCTAGCCCATGTTGAAATTTATTCAAATCCTTAAGTACCCTCTTATGGTCACACCAGTGCTGCCAGCTAAAACACGCACACCAACAAAAATAATATTGGAGTAACCTAAGACATAGCCAAAGATTGCAGCGCCACAGCACTAGCAGAAATTTAAATATGCTGACTGGAAAGCTTTTGGTTGATCAATATTCGGATAATCGATGCTCTACTGTACAGTACATACATATACAGGTAACCCCCGTATAACACGGTAGTTACGTTCCAAAAAATTGCCGTGTTATGCGAAACAAAGAACTAGTACGAAAAGGAGGGTTAGGTTCCAAAAATTAAAAAACATGCTACTATATTTTCATAATTAAGATAAATATCTTTATTAAAATTTTCTTAAGTGATACATATTAATATAAATTAAACAATGTTTTCTTTGTCATCACTAAAAGCACTATTAACCGAGAGCGTTTTATTTTTGGCAAGTTATCGTTATCCTCTGAGCATTTTTCTGCATTATTTTCAGATTCATGCTTTACCTTTTGCAAAATGTATGTAATTTTAGATTGCTTGCTTCTAGTTAAAAGATCTTTATAAATTTCCTTATATGGTGCTAAGCACTTATGGAATAAGAGAAAAACATCTGGCAACACCAGATGCAGAAGCGTCGAGATCTGACAAAATTGAAACAATTTTCGCGATAGACCATGTGTATGAAGGCGAGAAAAGAAAATTTACATACTGAAGTACTAATAGTTCATGAAAATAATAATTTTCGTGAACTATTAGTACTTAAGTATGTAAAAATTTATTACATTTTATGTTGTACGAGGGTTTTACCTATATCTCGAACCATGTCAGAGTGAATCCATGCTATAGAAGTGCCGTGTTATACAGGGGTTGCCTGTACCGTATAAGCATGAAAAGTAATCTTTTCTAAATAAAGAAAATAAACCATATTCATATGCAAGTACTTTTCCACATTTAATATTTTATTTGCAAATAATTATGCACATGTATACATAATTGAGTGTTTGGGTACAAAGAAAAAAAAATCACTATTTTAAAGCAAAAATCCAATTACCTGGATGTTTAACACAGCCAGTCAGCCTGAGATCCCAATTAATTCAGATAATTGGAGTTTTACTGTAAATATATAGACATACTGTACACATTCTTATAATCTCTACTACAAAATTTAAAAAAATCAGTCTTAGATAAAAAATTTGTCTTATACTTGCCTGTTTAGACAGAAACACAGTTTTTCTTTTTCATTTCTTTTAATTTCTGAATAAATACTTTTTTATATTTAAAATTTGTAAAAATACAATAGACCATCTGTTAAAAACAAAATCACTGAAGATTAGCAACTTGAATCTTGTAAGTTATTTCACTGTTTTAACCTGTCCTTGTCCAATTTTCATATTAATAATAATCTCAAAATGCCTTTATAATCATAGAAAATATTCTGTCCCTAACTAGTAATAATATTGGAATAGCAGAATTATTTAAATTAGTTTTTAAAAAAATTTAAATTTTACTGAATACTTCCTATACTGCATATTGAATATATACAACACTTAATAATTTTATAGTATAAATAAATATTAAAATATTCAGCAATTTCTTAAAAAATTTTATAAGAGAATTACATTGAACTGTGATTAATTCAAAAATTTTTAATTATTAAAATTAAAAGAAGAAATAAATCTCAAACAAACATAAAAAAATGCATATAAAATTTATTTCTTAAAATTACTCATTACATATTTACTAATTTAAAATAATGTTTGTTTTACAAAAATTTATTTCTTGATTTTGAAAATGTTTCCCTATAAAAATTTTTCTTCTATTCCTCTAATAAGTAAATTTTCATGACTTGATTTTATTCCTTCTTTAGGCTGAAAAAAAGTATAAAACATTTTAGAGAAACAGATCAAATGCAGGTCTTTATGTAAGTTTATGTATGGAATTTAACTATTGAATATATCATTTATATAATAATATACAGGCAATCCTTTAATGTTTTGACATAATACATTCCTAAAAATATCTGTAAAAATCAAGCAGCAGAGTATAATAGAGTTTTGTCTGCAGGGAGTTAAAGAAATATATTGTAAAATCTCTTAAGATATAGCAAAATTGGTTTTCAGCTAAATCAATCAATGCATCTTTAACGGTAGACAAATTTTAAATAATGCTAATATTTTTGATCTAGTGAATTTGGAAACAGAAGTGAAGATGATGGCCCATTAACCACATAAAAAATGTTAGAGTTATTTAAATTTCACCCTCTGTTAAATGTGCATGGATTAATTCAACTGAATAAGCAAAGTAACTAGTTCATCCTTATTGTTTTGTTTTCTTTTCCTCTGATTTATGTTACAATGTATGATATATTATTTAAAATGTTAAAATCTATATCACACAGAAAAGAGGCAGCAAAAATTAAATTTTCATGAATAATTTTAGTGTAACAAACTTAAACTGATAAAGAAGACAATACACAATAGATCAAAAATTTTGTTTGTTGGCTGATAATGTACAGAACATATGTTTAAACTTTAGTTAAACTTTTTTAGTTATACAAAAAAACTTTAAATTTTTCTATCCAGTAAGAGTATATGCTTACTCCACAATGGATAGGATATGCTTGACTTAAAATATGCACCGGGGGTATATGCTGTCCCTCTTTGGGATTACAGATTTAATAGTCGTTTAGTCTATGTGGGCTCAACCAAATGCTCCCTTTACAAACGCCTTCGGGAGCACAAATACGGCATTGATGATAATAAACATATCACCACCCTTTCAACTGTTGCCACCGAATCTGGAATCACGGTTGATCTACAAAATGCCTGTCTGATCAGGCTATCACACCATACTGATCAGCTCAGAAACATGGAGACTCTCGAAATATATAAAGCGGGATTACATAACACATGCATTAACTCTAAGGATGCGGTCAGCATCTCTCATGCATGGAAATTTTGTTATGAGGGAACACCCCCCATAACTAGCTTTAATTTGTGTATATTTCACCAGCATTCAACGTTTCGCAGGCTTAATTTTATACATGCTTAAACGTAATTTCTACACGAGCGTAATGTTCTAGTTTTTAATATTAGCATTGCTGTTCTAAAGTTTGAATTGTATTCATCCGGTTTCTTGTTCCATTTTGCACTTATTTGAATTCCTCAGAACTGTAGCCTGAGGAAGACCCTGATATGGTTGAAAACGTTCGCTGTTTTGTAAACACGTATTACTGGAGTTTCAGAAGGTTTTATGTGTGATGAATTACTGTAGTTAAATTAATGTGTGTGTAAATATTTACATATCTTAAAATTAAATTACATCTATGAATCAAAAATTTAAATTTGGCAATACTATATTTCTTAGTAATGCTTGAGATTTATATTAATAATTAAAAATCCTTAACTTATAGTAAAGTTTAATATATAAAGTAAATTTTAAAAAATAATTCAATGTACACTAAAATTATCAAAAACAATATATATATACATAAAATATGAAATTACCTTCATCATAGATGTTCTCTCAAAATTAGAACCGCCACATTTTCTAAAAAATATACACAAAAATAAGTATACAGATTGAAATTTTGATTAAAAAATTGGTACTTTAGCAGTGAAATTTTAAGTTCTAGAACATTAATTTATGCATTATTGAATTAATTACAAAAAAAGATATTTTACCTGCAAGATTTTTTGGGTAATTTTGTAAAAGCAAAAGTTCTATGATTGCAGTCTGTACATCGGAAAAAACGCTTAATTGCTTTGTGACGTTTCAAAGGGTGATTTTCTGTTTTACAGAGTTCGGAAGGTTGATATGAAGTGTACATACACTGAAAAACACATGCATTTTTTTTAATATTAATACATTTTGTTGATTTTTTCTAACATTTACTCTTATATATAACAAATCAATGTGCTTAAAATACAATCTATTCTCAATTGCTCTAAATCATAGTGGCATATATTAAGTGTTAGCATAACATTATTTATATACAGTATTTCAGTATGATTACTATATACTACTCTACTGTAAATAAGTTACATGATCTATGTTGCAATCTCTTAAAATATTTTCTCAAGTATCAATATTACAGTATATTAAGTAATAATTATTTTTAATAATATCATTTTAACATGCTTGTAAAATTAATTATGATAGCATAATATGTTCCCAGATTTGCTACTAAAATTACATAAATAAACCAAAATCATTAATAAAATATCTGATTCTAATCTTTATTGCAGCAAGTTTCGTCACTATAGTTACTATTATACTATCTATTATACTTGAGTTTATTTATTAAAAATCTTTTAACACAACAGGATTCTTCTATTTAAAAAACAAATAACTTTTCTTCATTAAAATTAATCATGTAATCTATTTAACTAAGAAAACTTGTTTGTTTTTTAAATAGAAGATTCCTGTTTGGTTGACAGATTTCTAATAAATAAATTCAAGTATAATTGAGAGTGTAGTGTTAATTATTAATAAAGTACTTTTGTTTTCATTATTTGAAGTGTCTTCAGATTGCATTCTACACAAAAAATCAAAAATAGAACAAATTTGTTCATTCTGCATTTGATTTTTGTTCAGAATATAGTCCACAAACACTTCAAACAAAAAAGGCAAAAACAGTTATTAATTTTCTTAATTTGTATAATCTATTAGTATCATGAACAAATCTGTAAACTTTTTGGGAAGGAAGAAGGCTTATTTCTCCGTGTTTATTAAAAATACTATCATCAACTGTAGGGTCTTCCAAATAAAATTCTACCTATAATAACCTTCCAAATAAAATTCTATTTGAATTATTGTAATTATGTTAATTATTATCCAAGAATGTTGTAATGTACATTAAAACATCACAAAACTGTCCAAGTTTTATTATAATATATTATACATACAATTTCTCAATGTCACAGCACATATTCGACTGATACTCAAATTTTTGAATGTCACTCTTCCCATAGCAGCCACAATTCTACAGCTCCTGCAGATTACTGATGTTGCAACAATGATCAGTGATTCCAACTTTGCAAACTGCACAACACAAAATGCTTTCTCTATTGCAAAGTCTCCGTTTCATTTATGGCACTTCCAATAGGCAATAGACAACAATTTGAATGCAGTTTGGAGATGAAACTTGAACAACTATTCAATTGATTGGGGTATGTTGCATACTTCTCAGATAATAATTAACATAATTAAAGTAATTTAAAATGGTAGCATTCTTTCTTGAAAATCCTATACAATAAAAATGATTCAGTTACCGAAAGTTAAATAAGATACAGAGTAACCTCAAAATATTATTATGTTTAGTGGGTTATACTTGGTTGACACCGGTGGCTGTGTACTATGCCAGGCCAGAGTCAAGGCATGGCAAGCAAAACAAAACTAAAATTAAATAAGTGTGTCAGTATCTGTATTTGGGAATTTCCTCACAATATGGCATGTATTCAATATAGTGGCCTTCTGTACTGTGATGTATGTATTTATATTCCATTGTAATGTTCCCAGGCTTTTGTGTAGTGTGTGTGGTATCATACCTGTACAGGAGAGAATGACAGGTACAATAAGCACCCTATCCATCCTCCATAGATGCCTTATTTCCTGGGCGAGTTCTGTGTACTTACTGATTTTTTCAGTGCATGTGTTTTGTACATTGTGAGTGTTTGGAATGGCTATGTCTATAATATATGTGATTTTATTGTGTTTGTCAATGAGTGTGATGTCTGGTCTGTTGTGGTAAATTGTTTTATCTGTGATTATGGCTCTGTCGTA